TTGAAAAGAATATAGTCAACACAGAAAGGATGCTTAAAATTCACGAGCAATCTATCCAAGAGATATGGGATGTCATAAAAAAAACAAACTTGAGAGTCACTGGGATAGAGGAAGGTATAGATGTCCAAACCAAAGGAATGGACAACCTATTAAATGAAATAATCCTAGAAAACTTGCCAGATATGAGAGATGGAATGGATTGCCAAATCCTGGAAGCTTACAGGAGGACCCCAAACATTCAAAACTGTAATAGACCAACTCCAAGAAACATAATTATGAAGATATCCAACATACAGAACAAGGAGAGAATATTAAAAGCTACGAGAGAAAGGAGGCAGATTACATTCAGGGGTAATGGCTGATTTTTCATCACAGACTTGGAAAGCGAGAAGATCCTGGAACAACGTATTTCAAACGCTAAAAAATAATGGATTCCAACCAAGAATACTGTATCCAGCAAAATTAAACTTCAGATTCCACAATGAAATTAAAATATTTCATGATAAACAAAAGCTAAAAGAATTTGCAGCCAGAAAACCAGCACTGCAAAGCATTTTGAGCAAAATACTACAAGAAGAGGAATTGAAAAATAGCACCCAAAACTAACAGTGGGAGGTATCTCAGTAAAGGGGGAGAAAAATAACCAAAGAGGAAAAACTAGCCAAACTAAAATAAATAAATAAATAAACATGACTGGAAGTACAAATCATATTTCAATTGTAACCTTAAATGTTAATGGCTTAAATTCACCAATCAAGAGACATAGGCTAGTAACCTGGATTAAAAAAATAAATCCAACAATATGCTGCCTTCAGGAGACTCATATGATAGGAAAAGACATACACAGGCTGAAGGTGAAAGGTTGGGAAAAATCATACCACTCATATGGCCCTCGGAAGCAAGCAGGAATGGCCATACTCATATCGAATAAAATCAACTTCAAACCTAAGTTAATCAAAAGGGATAAAGAAGGACACTATATACTGTTAAAAAGAACCATCCACCAACAAGACATAACAATTATCAATTTGTATGCACCAAACAATGGTGCAGCAACGTTCATAAAACAAACTCTCTTCAAGTTCAAGAGTCAAATAGACCACAACACAATAATTATGGGTGACTTCAACACACCGCTCTCGCCATTAGACAGATCCTCCAGACAAAAGCTGAATAAAGAAACTATAGAACTCAATAACACAATCAATAACCTAGACTAAACCGACATATATAGAATATATCAACCATCATCAAGTGGATACATGTTCTTCTCAGCAGCACATGGATCTTACTCAAAGATAGATCATATATTATGCCATAGGGCAATTCTTAGTAAATATAAAGGTGTGGAGATAATACCATGCACCATATATGACCATAATGGAATGAAACTGGAAATCAATGATAAAAGAAGGAAGGAAAAATCCTGCATCACCTGGAAAATAAACAATATGTTACTGAATGATCAATGGGTTATAGAAGACATAAAGGAGGAAATCAAAAAATTCTTAGAGATAAGCGACAATACAGACACAACATACCGGAATCTATGGGACACAATGAAAGCAGTTTTAAGAGGGAAATTCATTTCCTGGAGTTCATTCCTCAAAAAAAGAAAAAAACCAACAAATAAATGAACTCACTCTACATCTCAAAACCCTAGAAAAGGAAGAGCAAAACAACAGCAAATGTAGCAGAAGACAAGAAATAATTAAAATCAGAGCAGAAATCAACGAAATTGAAACAAAAAAAACCATTGAAAAAATTGATAAAACTAAAAGTTGGTTCTTTGAAAAAATAAATAAAATCGACAGACCCTTAGCCATGCTAACGAAGAGAAGAAGAGAGAGAACTCAAATTACTAACATACGGGATGAAAAAGGCAATATCACAACAGACACTACAGAAATACAGAAGATAATTAGAAAGTATTTTGAAGCCCTATATTCCAATAAAATAGAAAATAGTGAAGATATCGATAAATTTCTTAAGTCATATGATCTGCCCAGATTGAGTCAGGAAGACACACACAATTTAAACAGACCAATAACAAAGGAAGAAATAGAAGAAGCCATCAAAAGACTACCAACCAAGAAAAGCCCTGGACCAGATGGGTATACAGTGGAGTTTTATAAAACCTTCAAAGAAGAATTAATACCAATACTTTTCAAGCTATTTCAAGAAATAGAAAAAGAAGGAGCTCTTCCAAATTCATTCTATGAGGCCAATATCACCCTGATCCCGAAACCAGACAAAGACACTTCAAAGAAAGAAAACTACAGACCAATATCTCTAATGAACTCAGATGCAAAAATTCTCAATAAAATCCTGGCGAATCGAATACAAAAGCATATCAAAAAAAATTGTGCACCATGATCAAGTAGGATTCATCCCTGGGATGCAAGGCTGGTTCAATATACGGAAATCAATAAATGTTATTCACCACATCAATAGACTTAAAGATAAGAACCATATGATCATCTCGATAGATGCAGAAAAAGCGTTCAACAAAGTACAGCATCCTTTATGTTCAAAACACTAGAAAAACTAGGGATAACAGGAACTTACCTCAACATTGTAAAAGCTATATATGCTAAGCCTCAGGCTAGCATCATTCTAAATGGAGAAAAACTGAAGGCATTCCCTCTAAAATCTGGAACAAGACAGGGATGCCCTCTCTCACCACTTTTGTTCAACGTAGTTCTCGAAACACTGGCCAGAGAAATTAGACAGACAAAAGAAATTAAAGGCATAAAAATAGGAAAAGAAGAACTTAAATTATCACTATTTGCAGATGATATGATAATATATCTAACAGACCCAAAAGGGTCTACAAAGAAACTGCTAGAGTTAATAAATGAATTCAGCAAAGTGGCAGGATATAAAATCAACACGCATAAATCAAAGGCATTCCTGTATATTAGCAACAAAACTTCTGAAATGGAAATGAGGAAAACCACTCCATTCACAATATCCTCAAAAAAAAATAAAATACTTGGGAATCAACCTAACAAAAGAGGTGAAAGATTTATACAATGAAAACTACAGAACCCTAAAGACAGAGATAGAAGAAGATCTTAGAAGATGGAAAAATGTACCCTGTTCATGGATAGGCAGAACTAACATCATCAAAATGGCGATATTACCCAAAGTTCTCTACAGGTTTAATGCAATGCCAATCAAAATCCCAATGGCATTTCTTGTAGAAATAGATAAAGCAATCATGAAATTCATATGGAAAAACAAAAGACCCAGAATAGCAAAAACAATGCTAAGCAAGACGTGTGAATCTGGTGGTATAGTGATACCAGATTTCAAACTGTACTACAGAGCAATAGTAATAAAAACAGCATGGTACTGGTACCAAAACAGGCGGGTGGACCAATGGTACAGAATAGAGGACACAGAGACCAATCCACAAAATTACAACTTTGTTATATTTGATAAAGGGGCTAAAAGCATGCAATGGAGGAAGGATAGCATCTTCAACAAATGGTGCTGGGAAAACTGGAAATCCATATGCAACAAAATGAAGCTGAACCCCTTTCTCTCGCCATGCACAAAAGTTAACTCAAAATGGATCAAAGAGCTTGATATCAAATCAGAGACTCTGCGCCTGATAGAAGAAAAAGTTGGCTCCGATCTACATATTGTGGGGTCGGGCTCCAAATTCCTTAATAGGACGCCCATAGCCCAAGAGTTAATGACAAGAATATACAAATGGGACTTACTTAAACTAAAAAGTTTTTTCTCAGCAAGAGAAACAATAAGAGAAGTAAATAGGGAGCCAACATCCTGGGAACAAATCTTTACTCCTCACACTTCAGATAGAGCCCTAATATCCAGAATATACAAAGAACTCAAAAAATTAAACAATAAGATAACAAATAACCCAATCAACAAATGGGCCAAGGACCTGAACAGATACTTCTCAGAGGAGGACATACAATCAATCAATAAGTACATGAAAAAATGCTCACCATCTCTAGCAATCAGAGAAATGCAAATCAAAACCACCCTAAGATACCATCTCACTCCAGTAAGATTGGCAGCCATTATGAAGTCAAACAACAATAAGTGCTGGCGAGGATGTGGGGAAAAGGGTACACTTGTACATTGCTGGTGGGACTGCAAATTGGTGTGGCCAATATGGAAAGCAGTATGGAGATTCCTGGGAAAGCTGGGAATGGAACCACCATTTGACCCAGCTATCGCCCTTCTCGGACTATTCCCTGAGGACCTTAAAAGAGCGTACTATAGGGATACTGCCACATCAATGATCATAGCAGCACAATTCACAATAGCTAGACTGTGGAACCAACCTAGATGCCCTTCAATAGATGAATGGATTAAAAAAATGTGGCATTTATACACAATGGAGTATTACACAGCACTAAAAAATGACAAAATCATGGAATTTGCAGGGAAATGGATGGCATTAGAGCAGATTATGCTATGTGAAGCTAGCCAATCCTTAAAAAACAAATGCCAAATGTCTTCTTTGATATAAGGAGAGCAACTAAGAACAGAACAGGGAGGAAGAGCATGAGGAAAAGATCAACATTAAACAGAGATGAGTGGTGGGAGGGAAAGGGAGAGAGAAGGGAAATTGTATGGAAATGGAAGGAGACCCTCATTGTTACACAAAATTACATATAAGAGTTTGTGAGGGGAAAGGGGAAAAAAAAAACAAGGGAGATAATTGAATAACAGGAGATGGGGTAGAGAGGGAAGATGGGAGGGGAGGGGAGGGGGGACAGTAGGGAATAGGAAAGGTAGCAGAATACAACAGTCACTAATATGGCATTATGTAAAAATGTGGATGTGTAACCAATGTGATTCTGCAATTTGTATTTGGGGTAAAAATGGGAGTTCATAACCCACTTGAATCAAATGTATGAAAGATGATATGTCATGAGCTTTGTAATGTTTTGAACAACAAATTAAAAAAAAAAAAGTATCCCTAAACTGAAATAGGAAATAAAATTTTCTATTCTTACCTTTGATGATCTCCATTCCCAACCATCACCTATCTGTTGTGAATGTTTAATGAATTCTGAACAATGATGCTGGAATGTTTTTTCTCCAAAAAATTCATCTTCTTCCATTTTAAATGATAGCTGCAATATAAAAACTCAGTATTGGCAACAGCTTGAGAACAAATACTGAAAGAAATTCTGTTAATTGGTTTATTTCTTTAAACAAAGTTTGAGCTATACAATAATACAGAAAATAACCTCATGGCCATTCCAAAAAATGGTCTGTTTCCATCTTTCACACCCTGTTCTCATTTCCTTTATCAGTCAACAAGAAAACTCAAAACCTAGATTTGTAACAAATATGTATATAGAGAGGTTTTTTTTCCCTCTGTTTGATTTTTGGTTTGTTTAGTTTGGTTTTTGGTGTTTTGTTTTTGTTTTTGATTTTTTTGTTTGAGTTCTAGGATCGAGTTCAGGGCCTCATGCATGCTAAAAATGTATGCTACCACTGAACTACACTCTCAGCCCCTCATCTATGTTTTTAATAATGACAAGGGTGATGTTGAATATAGCATAAGTCCTCACTATTATATTTTACTAGAACCTATACTTAGTAAAAAGTTTATTTTGACCCAATGTGGTGAACATCCCTATAATCCCAGCCATGGGAGGGGGCAGGGTGCTGACACAGAAGGTTCACAAGTTCCAGGCCAGCCTGTGCAACTTAGGGAGATCCTATCTAAAATTAAAAAATTAAAAGGCTGGGATGTAGCTCAGTGGTTGAGTGCCTGTAAGTTCAATCACCAATACTGGGGGAAAAAAAACTATTTGGACCCAGGGTCAATAATCTGTCTATAATAGCTGATTTCCAAATCAGTGTTCTGATTATTCAGATTTGGTAGGTACAGCCTATATAAGAATATATTCATTCGTCCAACAAATACACATTGAGTATATATTAAATAGTAGGCATTGTGCTTATATAATGGCTAAATATTTTTTTAAATGAAAAAATATATATATTCCTTGAACAAAGGGAGATAAGTAAGAAAAACAATTATAGTAGAAACTTTCACTCTCTTCCTCCCCACCCTGCTCTCTTTTGGTACTGAGGATTGAACCCAGAGGCACTATATCACTGAGCTATATCCCCCAGCTCTTTTTATTTTTTATTTTGAGACAGGGTCTTGTTGTGTTGCTTAGGACCTAAGTTGCTGAGGCTGGCTTAGAACTTGTGCTCCTCCTTCCTCAGCCTTCTGAGTTGCTGAGATGACAGACATGTGTCACCATGCCCAGCTACAATAGAAACTCTCTTAACTAATCTCCATTCAACAACATACTAGATTAACTGTCACAATGTCCAGTCTCTTTCTGTAACACTAACTAATGTCTGCAGTATGCCAAACATGAAGCATCCCTGCTCCCATCATGATAGGGGTTTGGGCACAGAAGGATGGACTTCAACAATACACTAGACATCTTGCCCCTTTCAAGTGAAGAAAAGGCATTTGATATCTATAAAATTCAGAGAAGTCTTTAAAAGGAGACTGAAAATTAAGGAAGAAGTCACAAGACATTTTGATGCAGGGGCAGGTAACATGCTGTAGAGAGTAAGAGTTCAGAGAAAGGGGAACATCCAAGAAAACTAGTGTAGATTTGGAATTGCTGGTGAGGAAAATGGAAGGTCAACATTAAGTTGCTGAGGCTGGCCTGGAACGTGTGATCCTGTTGCCTCATTCTCCCAAGTCACTGAGATTTTAGGTGTGCACCACTGCATGTGGCAAGAGGACAGCATGAAGGATGAGCAGATGGAAGTGAAGATTCAACATGGGTTGAGACCATGTATTTATAGTGCCACACTCTGAATTGCTGAGATTGTCTTCAGAGTGTTCAGCCTCCCCCTCTCCAAGTATGGGAATCAGCACAGAGAAGGTACATTATTAATAATATAAAGTTGGAGGCTGGGGATATAGTTGTATACTAAAGCACTTGCCTACTATGTGGGAAGCCCTGATTCAATCCACAGCACCACTAAAAAAAAAAGTTGTGTTTTTGCTGGGTTGATTCAATAGAAGGACAAGAGTGTAGGTGGTGAAAGGAAATGCTTGTGAGAATAGCTCAAAAATCTAGATTAGGTAGGAAAGAGGTTGAAGGGACTGAGAAAACATAGAAGAATTGGAGATGCCAAAAAGGTCTGGGCATAGGGACGCATACCTGTAATCCCAGTGACTCAAGAAGATCTCAAGTTTGAGGCAAACCTCAAAGCAATTCAGCAAGACGCTCAACAACATAGTGAGAACCTATCTTGTAATCAAAAAATAAATAATTAAAAGAGCTGGGGATTTAGCTCAGTGGTAGAGGACACCTGGGTTCAAAAAAAAAGGATATAGAAAAATTAAAGAACTTAAAATTAAAAGTAAAAGGAGAGAAATGGAAAAATGGGAAGACTATATAGATATTAGAATCTGATGGTCTCAGCTGTGAGTACCATGGGAGTGAGTACATATTGTAGTTTGGAGATGAACATGATGAGAGATCTGGAATTTTAAAGAAACATGAGGCTTGGATCCTTCTCAAGGTGACACTAAAGGTTATACCACTAAACAGAGATAGCAGGTAAGAAGAAAAACTGACCTTGCCATAACTTGTAGAACTGAATTACATGAGCCTCAAAGGAGTAGGGCCTTTTACATGAGGTTGAAGGAAGTAGTCACCAAACATTGGTATCAGGAAATTGGGGGCTATCAGCAATCTTCACATCCAGAGTCATGTGAGATGGAGAAAACAGTAGCTTCCACTTAAAGGGCTTCAGAGTTTTTTTTGAAAGCCCACTTTCTTTTAAAGCTTGGGATGAAGCTCAGTGGTAGAACACTTGCCTGGCCCTGGATTCAATTACTAGCATTACAAAACACACTTAATACAATCTAGTTTGTAGAGGCACTAATAAAGATATTACTATTATTTGAGATTTATATATGAAAACCAATCCACATTGTATGAACCATCCCCCAAGCTGGAGATACACAAGGCATAGTGTGGTATGGGAACCATTAGCTAAATGTTTCTCTTTTGACCACAGAATTCAGTTTCCTAGAAACACTTTTTAACATACACCACAGAATATGTAGTAGGTGGGCTGAGTTAAGATAAATTTCTTTACTATGAATATGTGCTTCTGGGAGAGTGGGAGAACAGGCTGGGAAGAGAAAGCACCAACGCAGGAGGGTAATACAGAAGACACAATTGCAGGGACTCCCACTGAGGCATTCATCAAAATTCCTAAATGTAAGTGAAATCTCCAGGTTACACACAGAATTCTGGTTTTAAAGTTGTCAAAATTCAATGCAGACAAAAGTTGAGAAAGTGACATCACAAAAATACTTTAAAAAAAAAAAAAAGCAGTTAACCAAACAAAAGTGGGGAGATGATGGGAACAGAATGTGTGAAAGACTGCATAAAGAGAAAGTTTTTTTAATTGAGGAACTCTTGTTTGAAATTTAGAGGTGGAGAGAGGGTATTGGGAAAACTTGTGTTGATAAATACCAGGGTCCCTAGCCTGAGGGCTCATAGGAGTTTTGAAAGTGGAAGTACACTAATCAGATTTGCATTCTGACTTCCAGTGATTCTGCAGTCTTGCCTGAAGGAATGAAACAGGTGAAAGTCTTTTATGGTAATCCAAGAGACAATGTGATGCTAAATAAAGCCAAAGATTAGTGGTAGAGCAGAAGAGGAGGGAAGAATTCAGAAAACACTGGTACCAGGAAAAAAAAAAAATATATATATATATATATATATATATATATATATATATATATATATATATATCCTCTATCTTCACTTGTTTTTGGTACTGGGGAATTGAACCCAGAGGCACTTTACCACTGACCACATCCCCAGCCCTTTTTATTTTGAGTCAGGGTTTCACTAAGTTGTTTAGAGCCTTGCTTAGTTACTAACACTGGCCTAGAACTTGTGATCCTCCTGATTCAGCTTCTGGAGTTGCTGGGATTATAGGATGCATCACCCAGGCATGGCTTCAATTGTCCTTAATTGACTTAAAAATCAATAATTTGGGGAGATCACACAGCTGGGCAATATATTATTACTCCATCACTAGTTTTGGTGTAGATTACGCCCAACCATTGACTAGGTTTTTCTTTGGGGACCTGAAGTCAGTGCTGAAAACACTAACTCTTCATTTAGGCCTACAGATATCTGATGGGGGACTGGAAAGGAATGAAAAGGCTTGGCATCCCTGTCTTCATATTGGGTCTGTCTCCTTTGTTGCCTTAATCTTTGGGTCAGATTCTACTCAGCTCTGCATGTAGACATGTTAATCATCTGAGAAATGTTTGTCCTAAACAGTAGTACAGGGCTATCTTGACCTAGACTTGTGTAGTCTCCCTCCCCCACGCCACTCTTCCTCGAAGGCACCTACCAGTCACCATAACTGGAAACACCAGACTATAAAAGGAATGACAAAAGGTGGCACTCAAGTTCCTGGAAGATTGCCATCGATTCCCAGAAAAGACATGAATATTCCTCCCCTTTATTAGCTTATCCCTCTCCCTCATTATTCCTATCCAGTATCTGTAGCCTTTCCGCCCACTGAAATTGAGAAGCTGATTTGTAAGCAAAGCTCCCTCTTCTCCATTCTTCAGCCACTGAATAAATCCTTTCTCCCTAACACTCCTCTCTGACATTGTTTTCTCAGTGAGATGAGACTCTAAACCTGGGTTTCATAACTTTTTTTTTTCTTTTTGGTACCAGGGATTTTACCCTGGGGTTCCTTACCACTCAACTTTATCCCCAGTCTTTTTTATTTTTTAATTTTTTTTATTTTGAGACAAGTTACCAAGAGTGGCCTCAAACTTACTATTCTCCTGCCTCAGGTTTCCAAGTCTCTACGATTACAGGTGTGTACCACTGTGCCTGGCATCAGTATCATTTTGATAATATACTCATTACTGCTGACAAGCTTTGGTATGTGAGGGAGAAGGAAGAGAAAAGATTAAAAAATGGTTCCAAGTTTCCTGCTGTATGTGGTGGTGTACTGACTACAACAGAAATCCCTAGAGGAAGAACAAGTTTTAGAGAGGTAGGATTCGTTTAGCCAAAAATGAATTGGAGTTTGAAATGTC